ACACACGAAATTGAAATCGCTTCAATTGTCAGCGGAGTGCGTTAGCTGGCTTGGAGAGTGGTGTTGCAAGGATGAGAAAGGAGTGAGGAGGATCCTCCTTTGGCCTCATAACACCCCTCTGAAGTGGCTAAAAACACCCCTCATGATTGAAGCCATTTCAGATTCATGCGGCTCGTGACAAAAAATGCCGATTTTAACTAAATCACTGCTTCAATAGCTCAGTAGGTTTCATGCCTGAGCTGCACCGAGTATGTGCTGGGTTCAAAACCCGCTGCCGTCACTTTCAGCGGCCTGACGTAGGTGGGCCGAGGCCAAAGTGGTTCTGGTACCACCCTGTAACCCGTAGCTATGGGGACCATGAGGCCTGGTAGAGAGATCTGGGAAAGTGGCCCCGAGTCATCAGCAGGATTGGCGCCAAGTATATGGTGAGAAAAAGGCCTGCTCAGTTCCTACTAGGAAGCCGGCTGGATCACCCCGATGATGGCCGTAGGCGGAAGTGGCCAAAACGCGGCGTAGGGACGTCCGCGCGGGAATTGGTGGTGTACACTCCTTTTTTTCAAATTCCCGATTTTTGCACCAGGGACTGCTTGCATAATTCTCTACTCACTTCTTCCCTCTCCCCTCTCTTTCGCTTTCCTTCTCTTTCTCTTCTCTCTCTCTCTACCTCTTTTCTCTCCTTCTTCATTCTTTGGTCATATTTCCACATTGCAACTCGAGGCTTTAAGCCACTTGTTATCGATTGGTTCACGGACCGTGCATGCTATGTACTCTCCTTACCAATCACACCCAAGGTCGAATTCCCGTCAGTATAATCTCAGCTGACATTCTTAATATCCATGGCTCAATTACGATGCCTTCAGAGTTGAGACCCTCAAGTTACATGATGCATTCAAGAAACATGAAGTCTGGGGGGGGAGGGGGGAGAGAAAAAAAAAAAAAAACTGAATACCAGTCATAACAGAGGATCAATAATCAACAATCATGACATACCATCTACAACAAAGATCAACAATAATGATCTAGAAGTACTTAGGAAAGCGGTGCTGTGGGCCATCTGGAGGCGCCGTTGCATATTGACCATTGAAGGCGCACATATGGGGAGGGGCGAGATGACTGAGACGATCAAGGACACAATTGAGACAGCAATCAGGGCTCGATGGACACGACTAGTACAGCTGACAAAGCCCCTCTCTAAAAAGACTGATATCATCCGCTACCTAAATGAATTCTGCATGGACTAGCTGGGAGGGGAACATGGGGGGAGGATAGCAAGGGTACAATGGGATGGCTGGCAACTAGACGACGATCATCAATTGGAAGCCAGGCAGAAGAATTATCGACTTTGTTTCAATGATTGGACCACGATCCCTGACGAGATCCCCTCCCCCCTCCCACAGATTTCCCAGACCCTTTCCCCCTGTGACATCAACCTCACGACCTGTGCTTTTTCCGGTCGGAGTGTTTTGTCGGGGAAGAACAACAAAGATGGGGTGTGCCAAGGATTTTTGAGAAAATTGAGTGTGGGGACACAGACAGAACTGAGATTCCCCCGTGTTGGTCCGACTTTAGTGAGAAGGGATCCGTCCCCGCGCGGGTGGAGGAAAAGGCACACGCTGGGCTCACGGCGATGGGAAATTCAATCCAAAAAGTATCGCTGTACTTCCCAGCGAGCCGTTTGCCTATGTTTCGAATGAAAGGGGGAGGGTACACACGTAGTATCCCGTTTTCGGATGAGATCCCATCGGCGCTCACTACACAACTCCGAATCCGACGTGGAGGGCCTTAGTCGAGTGGCTCTCTCCTTGTGTTCGTCCTCACCACATGGGCGGTAATGGAAGCCCTTGGCTCAGTAACGCTCAGTGCGGTGACAGTCGCTGCACAAAGTGTTAGGCCAATGAGGCGCCACTGCCGACCACGGGATGATGATCAACTCATTAAACGGCAACAACAACGAATAAGGCGGAAAGTGCATATCGACAATGACGAATCTCGCACCGACGAATCCGGAGCACCGGGACTCGGGTGGGAAGTAATAACGTCCGCCGATCTTGGCGACGACTTCTCGTACGTCCCACTCGCATACACGTGTCCTTTCCTCGTGGTGCAGGAAGGGGCGCGGCGGGGCACGGGAAGTCGGCGCCCAGTCAGATTGTGGCAGTCGGTCCAAATGGCAAAATGGCAAAGCGCAAAATCCTCCCTTATCATGCATCATTCATTCAACGCACTACTCGATCCAACCCCGGGTTTCGTCAGGTCAACCAATCAACATCCCCGTCAGGCTTGCACAAGTTCTCAGGCACAATCCATTTCATGTACATATCAAAGTGAGAGGAGAGAAATCACCATAGTCCATTCATTATATCAAAAACATAACAGAAAGAAGGCGTGAGGGAGGAGAGACGTGGATCAGAAGAGAGAAGAAAACAGAAGATAATTACACAAGAAGTCCAGTGATCTTGACGAGAAATTCCAGCTTAAATGTCGGATGATGGAACTCACACTCGAAGACTAGACTCAAGGCAAAAGAGGCGCATCCGCCATGAAACTCCACTAGGCCCCCAGGCCGTACATTCACTCAACTTTCGATTACGATCCTCACACAAGCACTAACGATCCTTGCCGTCACGTGCTACTCCCACCATAACGATCGTCACCCCGCCGACTCAGTCTCTGCACAGTCTTGCCCGGATCCCACAGTCCGTCAGGCGATCCAGCGCACAGCCGGCAAGGCTACAGTCAGCTCGTCAAGACTTTTCGACTCGCACTTTCACGCGCACCAGCACTGCTTCCCGGAAGTTGGCCAATAAGTTGAGAGAGAGATTTTTGGGCGCGCTTGCGGAATTTATAGTTGTGGAAAAGGAAATGGATGGTAGGAAGGATTAAGACCGAGGTGGGGAGGGGTAAGGGAAATCTCGGGGATAATCGTCTGAGGAAAGCCATATCGATCCTTCGAAGCCCAGTCGTAGCCAATTGGAATCGTCGTGTAACAGGAATTTCCTTCTTACACGGCGCATCTCCTTGGCTAGAGGGGAGGACGAGGAAATCGATAGGGTATCCCGGCGCAAGGATTAGAGCAGGGAGAGGACGGGCGCGAAGGGTAGCGCGAAACGGGACCAAGATTCAGACGATCAAGAAAGAGAAAAGGCGCGCGAGGCAAGGGAGAGATGGAAAACGGTTGCAAAGAAGAGAGTGCCGAAGGTAGGGGGGGAAGCGGGGGGGGGGGGGGGGGACTCGCATCCATAGCGCCGACACGAAGGCAAAAAGGGCACTGAAACAGTTACAGCTCGTNCGCGCGAGGCAAGGGAGAGATGGAAAACGGTTGCAAAGAAGAGAGTGCCGAAGGTAGCGAGGGAAGCGGGGAGGGGGGGGGGGGACTCGCATCCATAGCGCCGACACGAAGGCAAAAAGGGCACTGAAACAGTTACAGCTCGTTCAGAGTCCTACGCTAACTCAAAATTAAAAAACAAAACACCATATCCGTGCGTAGAGTGAACTTGGGAAAAAGTCTTATGCCTATTCAGATTCACACGATAATTCCCAGAGTTTTCCAAGACGAAGTCGAGAACATTCATGCACAAGAAAGGACACGTCAGGTCTCGCTTATTCCGAAATTCCTAACCGTCGAACCAAATTCCTAGCGCGCTCGCTAAGGCGTGCGTATTTCACATGTATTTCCCGAATTGCAAAAAGATGGAACTCCAACAAAGGTCCTGAGAGGGACGGGCCTCTCCGATCACGAACAATGCGCATTAATCCATGGAAACACAAAAAGGGGCCTCTTCGGCCTGTTTGCAAAAGACAACAAAAATTCGAAGAGAGGGAGGGGGGGGGTTAGAAGATGGCGCAGGTCCGGAAACTGGCGTGTCACACCCTAATCACACATTGATGGAATTAAGCTGGTACGGCAGGGAGTAGGGAATAGAGGGAATAGAGATGGCCCTCTAAACCTGGACAGGAGAGGAGTTCGTTAGCTGGGCAGTGGAAATGGAGGATGGATCCCCTTCATCCGGTCGCCCCCTGGAGAAAGGAGCCCCATCCTCATCATTACAACTGCCACCAACCAACCCCCCTTTTGTGCCTGCTTGAGCAGGGCCCCGGAAAGATATAGGCAAAGGTCAATAAGTCATTGTACATCCCATAACCTGTACAGTCAATCCCCTGGACTCCAGGGCAATCAATGCTGACAGGTTCCAGACTCATTCTCCTCCAACAAATTCGGGTTACCTGATGTTAATGGGACGATGGACCCGGTTTCCAGCAGGTGAAGCTCCCCACCAATAGATGGAGCCTCCCCTGGGGTGATAGTGGCGTCTGCTCCTAACAGCATCACTATCACCCGTGAGGAATGTTTGTTAAAAAAAAAAAAAAAAAGTACTTAGGGCTGGTCACCTGTGGATGTATCTCTGGACTGTCGCCCTCTTAGGGGGAAAAACAATCACTGCTTCTGACCACGAAGCCAGACAGAATCCCTGTCGTATGGACAGCCAAACAGAATCTCTTTCTTATGGTGGAATGGAATACTACTTTTTTGAGTCAATAATAATGATCTGGAATTACCTAGGGCCGGTCACCTGTGGATATATCTCTAGACTGTCACCCTTTTAGGAAACAAAAAAAATCGCTGCTGCAAACCACAAAGCCAAACAGAATCCCTGCTGTATGGACAGCCAAACAGAACCTCTTTCTTATGGTGAATACTATTTTTTTTAGAAAAGATGTGCAGATGTTTTGATACTATCTTGAGTGCTGCCTTCCTTTCTCTGCATTTCTGCTGTTCATGGATGCATAGACTAATCTCTGTGCCTATCCCGAATACACTGTGATTGCTATTCAATAAGCAAGTATGGACAGCCACCCGACCATATTCACTTCAAATTAATACACACACACACACACACACACACACACACACACACACACACACACACACACACACACACACACACACACACACAGATCATTCATTTCATGCTTGTTCGAGGGTTCAAAGATAAACTCACCTCCCCTGTCAATGCTCTGCCTCCAAATAACTTCCATAAATCGAAGCCTTCAGCCCTAGCAGGAGGTGCAGGTGCAGATCCACTTCTTCCCTCTTGACTACAAGAAGACTTTACACTTTGACTTGATTTCGTCTCTCGTGATTGGATAGGAGTTCCTAGGAAGAAATTGCTGCTTCTGTCCACAACAAACCAATGCCCGTCGTTAGTGATGAATCAAGTGGGCCGAAAGAAAAGGAAAAAAAAGGGACAACAAGCCAGGCCAACAGCTCCCCCGACCACCGCGATGCACTTCGCTGGGGTTAGCAGAGGAATGCACATCACACCTGTACAGTGTGAGAAGTTATGCCAAAAAGGCAAACAGAAAAGAATGAAAGAAAAAAGAACAAGACTCTAGAAAGAGCAGGTGATGCAACCTGTGTTTGTAAAAACATTTGGCTGCAAAGTTGCATTTGTCGAATTCGGTTTGCAAGTTTGCACCACGACTACAAGAACAAATTCAGGAAACCACAATCACAGGTCAAGCTATATATAAAAGTAATAACAAGAGTATCCTTTTTCTTTTGTGTGTGTGTGGTGTGTGTGTGTGTGTGTGTGTGTGTGTGTGGTGGTGGTGGTGGTGGGGGGGGGGGGGGGGGGGTGTGTGTGTGTGTGTGTGTGTGGGGGGGGAGGAGCGAGGCTTGGGCCCATATTCCAGAAAGAAACGGCTATGCCGAAATTGGTTTATGCACCACACTTAGGATGCGGCGGCGCTTCGCGCCTTGTGGGTCTGAGTCCCGCTAGCCGTACACTATCCCTCACGAGACCCCACTCTTCCACCTCTCCATATTCTGTGGCGCACCCCCACTCCCCTCTATCCAACCTGTTTTTTTACGACCACCACTCTCTGCTGGATTGATCAGAGCAGACAGCAGTCATGGGCACCAATGCTGAACTCTGGGAGCCCATTTCCGCCCTGGTTGAGGCATTGTCACACAAGAGTCATCGTACGGGTACCTGGGGAGGTAGCATGGATCTAGTACTACTACTAGCCTAGCCTTGTGAGTAGACCAAAGAGTGCCTTCCTCATCGAGGGTCCGTGTCTAGAGATCCCTTCTCCGAGCTACCCCAGGCAGTGTCTAATGGCCATCTGGCCAAGGTCTAACCTATGAGCGCCCTATGCTAAGCAATTTCCCCTACCCAGCACAGTTGTATTCTGTACTATTCTGTATATTAGACTGTGTAGGTCAGCACGAATCCTGTGTAGTCATGTACGGGGCTGTAATCTGACATATGATTGAGGATTGTATTGAAAAGTACGGGTGTGGGTAGATGATGGACTGGAGCTTGTGTTTAAAAATAAATAAATAAATCAAAAAACAAAAAGGTTACTAATAGGTTATGGAGGCCATCTGTCATTGCGATCTAAGAATAGAAACAGGGCATTTTTGGAGATAGTATCACAAAACTACTTCATAGCCATCTAAAAATAGAAACAGGCCATTTTGCATCGAAAAATTAATGATAGATGCCAATAAGTTATGGACGCCTACTGCTCAGAAGGTAGGGATATTTCCGACCTGGCGGGCCCACTGATGCTATGCTCTTGCTTTGACTGCATGAACCTGGTCATCTAGGTGAACTGGTTCATGTTTCCTTGGGGTGACCATAGGACCAGTGGGGTAAAACGCCATCCAAATTTCGCAGCAAGGAAACTTGGGGTTGAGGGAGGTGGCCAAGACGAAGAGCAGAGTCCATCTCCTGTTGAAGGTCAACGTTGCTGCACATTTGTAGATGGCAGAGTTTGTCAGTTCGGGCTATATAGACTTCATCGGTGATTTTTTTGGTGTCACACACTTGGTGATGGTCTTCAATCGGCCACTTCCATTCCCTTCCTCTTTTCTTAATTGTGTGTCATCCTTGAATGTACAGTGCCCGTGCTAATCTCCTCTGTATCATTCCAATTTTAACAGATGCCCCAAAGGACTGGTCACTATTACTTACAAATGCTCGCTCTTTGCATCTAGTAAGGGGGGCCGGTGGGGGGGCTGGTTGGGGGGGGGCTGGTTGGGGGGCGGCGAACATCGTCTTTCCATTTAAAGGGCCTCCTGCCCAAGGCAAACACCCAACACTTCGGAAGGAAACCAATTACTCGCTCTTATTAACCACTACCGCCAGGAGACGGTGTTCACAAGTGGAACACCGCTCGCTATAGCCCCGCTACCCATGCAAGGCCGTAACGTCCAACTCGACGCACACCACACACAACACCACACACAACACCACTCAGACGCACCACACAGATGCACCACACAGACACCACACACAACAACACACAACACCACACAGACGCACCACACAGACACGGCAATTCTCGCACACTTGGCTGCAATCAGCACGTGACCCCCACTACCGTCTTCACCCGAATAGAACGTAGGCTCATTACTGCTGTATCTAGACTCGAAGTTGAACCAAATGCAGCTATAATGACCGTACGTTCTATTCGGGTGAAGACGGTTACCGGAGTACCTAGCCCGCTCACACCATGGTCCGCGTCAGAGAAAAAGCGAGCCTATCTCAGCAACGAGAGGCAGCATAGCAAGGCCCCACTTCTTTTTTTGTTATTCCCCCCTCTTTTTTCTTTTTTGAATTTACGAGGCGGGCACTACCATAGTAGGACCGTTTTTGTTCTACTTCTTTTTTGGAGGTCCCACTACGGCAGTGCCTGCCTGGTGAATGAGCGGTACATGCACATGGCTGTTGATCACTCGACTCAGGCCTACACGGGCAGTTTGTCGACTGAATCTTACCATATTTTCCGGCAGGTACATGCAGCACAGTCTGGTCTGTGTAATTGCTGGCCAAAGGCAATAATCCACAAACACAGTCCTTGAACAATCACAGGTTAGTTAAAAGACTTGGCTCTTGAGGCCGAGGTCGCCAGTTCGAATTCGTGCTTGCACGGAAGAGGGCCTTGGGCTCAGATGTACGGATCTATAACAACTACTGACATTATCCACTTGCTGCTCGCTGGTTGGCAATGAGGTATGGTGATGAGGTGCTGATGGATTTTGCTTCTTCTTCTTCTTCTTCTTCTTCTTCTTCTTCTTTCTTTTTTTTTCTTCTATTTTTTCTCAGATGTACGGATCTATAACTAATGGAATTATCTACTCGCTGCTCGCTGCTTAGCAATGAGGTATGGTGATGAGGTGATGATGGATTTCTTCTTTTTCTTCTTCTTCTTCTTCTTCTTCTTCTTCTTCTTCTTCTTCTTCCTTCTTTTTTCTTCTTTTTTTTTTTTTAAGAACGGCGACGGCCTTGAAATATGATCATTGAACTGACCACCCCCACGCAATTCCGAATAATGATAGTGATAAACAGAGGCCAACAACTGCTTCCCGTAATGCCTCGATGATCACCACAATTTCGCACGTACTGCACTCAGCAAAACACGCGCGCAACTGGTCATCTGGTTGCATCTGGATTCGAACTCGGTCTGTATTTCAACGGTTTATGCGTGTACAAACTGAGCTAGGCTCGTTGGTATTTTTTTAAGGATTTCGATCATTCTCTTTTTTATTTTCAGCAGCAAGCTTCGATCCATTCGTGGGAAGCAAAATTAGATAGTTTACGGCGTAATATTATTTCTTTTCTTCCAATCGGGACTGGAACTTGGGTCTGTATTTCAACCGTTCATGATTGTACCAACTGAGCTAGGCTCATTGGTTCCCACACAGCGTAAATTTGATTTGCAAAGGGTAACTCTTTTAAGCCCAACCAATTTTTGAATTGGTTGAGATAAGTTCTTTTCATTGTGCCCAGGTTGATCGAGAAAAGGGGGGAAAAAAAAAAAAAAGTTTGACTTGACCGATCACATATTATGTCGGCTGAAGGATAGGAGAACGATTCCAAGACGGCAAGAGTTTTATAACATTTCATTTTTATTTATTAAATTTTATTTAATATTTATTATTTCATCAAGTTCTTTGGGGGGGGGTGGAGGCCAGTGTATGCGCCATTGGTCGTCCTTTCTCCGAGCTGCCCTTTTGTAGGTTCGACGTACGCAAATAAAATACTAGAGTCCGCTCTCAGAAAAAAAAAAAAAAAAAAAAAAAGAAACTAGCAGAAAGGTGATGTGCCTGCCTTGAGGCTGACTGTTCAACACAGATCCTGAGCTCAAATCCTTGCGCATTCCATACATAAAAAAAAAAAAAGATCCTATCAGAGAAAGAAGAAAAGTGATGTGCCTGCCTTGAGGCTCAATGGGACAAACGAATAATGTTGCTGAACACAGATCGTGAGTTGAAATCCTTGTGCATTCATAGCCAACATCTATAATCATGGGAAATTGGCTATTACCACGATGAGCCACATAGCTGTAACCTTTTTCTTTTTTTTTTCTTTTTTTTTTTTGACATAGCTGTAAATTCTAAGTTTTATCGATTAATCGATCGGTCATAAGCGTGACTTCTTTTTATGTTCTCTTAATCGAATGGCCATTAGTTCGATCGGTATGGGTGAGAAAGCACACACACACACGATCGCAAGTGTCGCACACAATTGCACGCACAGCAAGTCTCGGAAATGCAACCCCTGTGAAAGAAAACAAGAGCAAAGAGGAATTACGGTAAACTTTAAAGGGAAAAAAAAAAAAAAAAAGAGAGAGAGACTTCTAAACTTCCACGCGGCGAGATGCAATGCAGACTTCGAGATTTTCACGTTACGTAAATTAAAAAAAAAAAAAAAAAAAAAAAAAAAAAAAAAAAAAGAAACCTTATGCAAGTCTCTCCTTCCCTTTTTCCCAGCAAGTCTCCATGGTCCTTCTTCGCTGTCCTCTTCGCCCGCCCGCCCGCCCGCCCGCAAGCCGGCGTCCTTCACTCCGGCGTTGAGATATCATCATTGAACTAACCGGCCCCAGGTAATTCAAAATTGTCTTAGCTGTTATCTGATTTTGTCTGGATTCGAGCTTAGGATCTGTACTTCAACAATTCATCGGTGTACCAACTGAGCTCGGCCCGTTGGTAACGTCAATATCTTTTCACAAAATGCACCAAATTCAAATGGCTTCAATTATAACAGGGTGTTGCGCGCGCGGTGGGGGGGGGGGGGGGGGGGGGGGGGGGACGCAGTTTGTAGGAGGTGAGTGAAGATCCTCCTCCCTCGCGCTCACACACAACACACCTCCAAATCGGCGAAGAACACCCCATACGGTTCAACGCGTCATCAGTTCCGCGCGTTTAGTAAAATCAGTTACTGTCCATTGAACTCCATTCTGACTCTAAGTCACCCCCTTTCACGAGACTCACCCTCGAATTGATTACTTAGCCAAGTTCAGAGGGAGGAGGAGGACGAAGGCGACGAGAACAAACACTGTCAGGTGCAAGAAGTCGAATCGTGATAATCAGGCCAATCACCATATGTCCATGTTCAACAGAGAATATCTCTATAGAATCTGCAGAGACGGAGCCTCCGTACCCGCGCTCTTGCCACGCACGTTCCCCAACATGTTTGGCCTGGATGCGCACCAGCCTCTTTATTGTTTTCAAAAAAGGGCGACCACCTTGAGATATCATCACATCGAACTGACCGGCCCTAAGTAATTAAGAATTGCCGTACTTCACTCATCTGTTTCCCGGTCTGTATCTCAGTACTTCAGGGGTGTACCAACTGAGCTAGGCCAGCTGGTCGCACCAGCCTGTTTAGAAGATTTGCCTCAATTTGAAACTCGAATCCCACCGCTCGAATCCCCCAAAACTCAGAAGCTCAGTGAACAGCGAGGCCAACGCCGAACGTCCGCGCATGCAGACAGGATACTACCGTCTTCCCGCGAACATAACGCACCCTGAAAATGAACGTATACAAGATATGTTTCCGGCCCGATACAGTAAAAATGTGGGTGCGTTGTGTTCGGGGGAAGACGGTAGCTACCATGACAGCACGTACACGGACTGATCAACCATAGCTCTCCAAGAGAAAGAACAACAAGAAAGGAGGAGGAGGAGGAGGAGGAGGAGGGGGAGGAAAAGGAAGAGAAAGGAGGAGGAGGAGGAGGAGGAGGAGGAGGAGGAGGGGGGGGAGGAAAAGGAAGAGAAAGGAGATCGCAACAAAAGGGAATTTCAAAGAGCAGAAAGACAGCAGAGGAGGGGCTAGAGGAGGAGGATAAGGATGATGACGACAACGATGAATCGATGATTGAGGCAACGAGTGAGAGTACATCGAATTGTATGCATACGCTGACTCACCCAATAGTTCGCAAGCTGGACGACTTGGGGGTGGAGGAGGCAGCAGAAGCTTCGTTGCACAAGCACACTCCTTTCCGAGTTCCGCGGGAAGTAAGCCTTGGGTTGTGGAGATGGCCCCCTTCCCTCGATGTCGACGACGACGCTACGACGTCAGGTCCGGCGCGAGCAGAGAAGCATGCAGGTGCAAACCCTGCCCCTACCGAAGATGATGCCCGACAGCAGGCAGGAGACGCCATCGCGCGCGCGCGCGCGCGCCTCGTTCCTTCGCGCGCACGCACTAACTACACTCCCCCGCTACAGTACGGTCGATGACAGGTAGACGACGTGCGCCAAGCGACGGGAAAGTGGATCGCTCCTCCTTCACAATGAGTTCAGGCCGCAGCTGGGACTCCACGTTTTGCAGCTCACAGGTTGGCAGCACTGCGCTTCCGCGCAATTGCGTCGACACAAGTAGGCCATATGTATGCTGATCGTCGATGCACGAACCGCCGTCAGGAGGGCCCGCGGGTGTATACGTGTGTGTGTTTGTGCATGGCTGTGTGTGTGTGTGTGTGTGTGTGTGCGTGTGTGAGTGTGTGTGTGTGTGTGTGAGTGAGAGAGAGAGAGAGAGAGAGAGAGAGAGAGAGAAGGGAGATGAAGGGGAGGGTCAGGCGCACGAGCAAAAGATGAGAGGACGAGAGTAAAAAGATACTTCAGAAGTGGTCGCCAGTCACACCGTCTCGTTTGTGGGTGAGGCCGACGGGCTCGTCAGCACCAGCACTTGAGGTAAACGAAAACCGGCCTTGTGTTCGCCCACGGTTGAGCGGGGAATCCGCCGATCCAAAAATTCCCCAAGGCGCCATCTTCGACCCGCCAACACAGGTCCTTCGGGACATCCGTTAAAATTGGAATGTTACAGAGAAGATTAGCATGGCCCCTGCGTAAGGATGGCACGACGCATAAATCGAGAAAATGGTCCAAAATTAAAATATAAAAACAAAGACCCGCCAACACAGACCGCCAGCCGTCTCCTCCCCGCCCCGCCAAATCGCCCAGCCTTCACCTGCGGTCGAGAAAACCGAGCGCAAATTTTTTCTTTTTTTTCTTTTTGGATGTTACCCGCCCGGAGCGCCGGTTAATTTTTCCTTCGGGTGGTCCGTGGCAGGTAGATGGCACTACCGGGGCGGAGAATGCGCGAGATTGGGCCCCACCTGGCTGCCGTCCGACGTGGCGTCCACGTCAAGTTGTTCTTGGGCGTCACATTGCGTCGTGATCGTCCGCCCTGCGGGCAAATCTCAGGCTGTGTAGCGGATCGCCCACGGTAGTGCCTGGGCCGGATCGCCAGGGTGATCGGGTAGAATTCCCACCAGACACCGCCCCCGTGGCTGAATGGTCCACACATGTGACTAATGGTGAACACATCTCGAGTTCAACCCCCTTGAAATCAGATGAGGGAACTAATGTTAGGGGTGGAGGAAGAGGGAAGCCTGGAGTGAGGCTTGGGGTGCTTGCCAGTTCCCAGTCCAAAAAACTGAGGTTGGTGCGGGAGCCAGCATGCCATCTTCCTGCAAATAGAACGCCTGGTCTTTTTTTTAGCTCTATACAGGTGAAGATGGTAGGGTGCTCGCTAGCGGGGCCTGATGGAGGCTGAGGACTGGAGAGAGTGATTATGGCCAGTGCAATGGAGAGGTTGGTGGCGAACAGGGTGCTGGCTGGTGGGAGCCAGTGTGCCCGAATCCTATGCTCGTCAGCAACGACCATCTTCTTCTGAATGGAAAGCCTGGTCTTTATAGTAATAATGACTGGGCGCTATATTCAGGTGAAAACGGTGTTGAGCGCATCGGTTCCGCAGGGCGACCCTCGTGGCCGTGTCACACAGGATTTTGCAGGACTTGTTACGGAGAGCGTTTGCCGCTCCGGCCGAATGCGCCAGCCGTACCTCTCACGAGCGCTATGACATGATAGGGCCCCGCAAGGCACAGCTTACCTCCACCTGCGGGACTCGGAGTTGTCACCATCCCTTGGGTGGGCGTATCCCACCCGAGCGAAGGTTTTTCGTATGCAATCGCAGAGGTGGCTTGACCGAGGGTGTTTCTCGTTCGATTTAACATAGGGGGTACGCGAGGTTAACGACCGAATTGGACCTGCACGCGAACTGTTACCCAAAGCGCAGATCTCTCGAACGCGATCCTCCGCCAGTCGACTAGAACAATCATTCTAACTGTAGCGGACCTCGGGTTGGCCTGTGAGACCAGCCCCTTGGCCTGTTCTCACAGGCCTGTGTTGTATTCGGGGTAGGCCAGTCAAGGCCCGTACCTCTGTCGGTACCTGCCAGTCCAGTCAAGTCTCGTCAGTCCGTTGGGGTATACCCCAGCCATTGTCTGTTTTCAGTCTCATTCTTCACTTGCACATTTTGGAGTACGTGCGTTGGAGTCTTGCGTGGAAAGCTGCGTTGTGCCATCTCGTTCCCCCCCTTCTTCCTCCATCTCCATCTCTGTCACTAGCGGAGCACCACACCTGGTGGGTCCGCTATATTGGTATCGAAGCGGGAACGTTCCCCGCTCCCCACCCACCACCACATTCCCCGCTCACAGCTGAGGAAAACAGCAAAACCCGACATCGGGTTTTTTCGCTGTTTTCGGGCGTTTTTCAGTGAAAACGCAGGGGAAAAGGGGAAAAGCGGCGCGTGCAGGAAGTGCCACGTGGCGAAAAAGAGAGGCGCCACGACGAGCGCATGCACGCAAGCGCCCAGGCCAAGGCCACCGCACGCGCGCGCGCGCCAAGCGCCCACGTTGGGCTGCCCCGCCCCGCCCCGCTCCCGAAGTTATCTTATCAAAATCCGAAAATTTTTGCTGCCGCTGGGATTTGAACCCAGGCACCTGCTGAGCCATGCACATGCGTAAGCAGCCTCATAACACACTCACCACAGTGTGTTCATGGCTTTGTAGCACGGCACACTCTTGTTGAAGAGGTGCCGTGCTGGCTATTTACCCCCCCCC